AATTTTTGTGTGTGTGTATTTTACATATTTGTTAATAAAAATCTTTGGCGCAACACTGGAAGAAGGAAGACTTGCCTACTATTCAAGAATGGACACTGAAAGTAACAAACCTAGCGGAGATGGCTAAAATATCTGCATATCTTAAGGACCACTCAAATGAGAGATATAAACTGGAGTGGAGAAGATGGACTGATTATACTCAAAATAAATATGGGACTAAGAAATTCCAGATAGCTTATGATTAAAGACCAGAAATGATATAAATTGTCTAGAGCTAGTTTAGCAAGGAGGAGCTAAAGCTCAATTGAAAGATGTTATCACTATCTTTTTTTCTTTTTAAGTGTATTTTTGATTGTTTTTGTCAAAGATTTATACCCTGTATTGGTTCTAGGAAGTTGAGGGGGGGCAGGTTGGGGGGAGGGGGGGAAGGGAAGTAAATATTTGTAAAAGTTTGTTTTTCAAAATTCTCATTTTTTAAAAAAAATCAGATGCTGTGCAACCAGCTCATATTTATGATGGTTGCATGTCCCGAGGCCACGCGATCACCTTCTGTGGCCTTCTGACAAGTAAAATCAATGGAGAAGCAGTTTTATTTATCAACCGTGTTGCTGACTTAACAATTGCAGTGATTCCCTTAACAAGTGTGGCAAGAAAGGTTGTAAAATGGGACCAAACTCACTTAACAATTGACTCGCTTAGCAACAGAAATTTTGGGCTCAATTGTGGTTGTCCGTCGAGGGCTACCTGTACTATCCTAGAATTATCTGCTGTGAATTGCGTAAAGGCCAGGAAGATGTTGCAATGTATTGAAATTACATGATCCTGATTTTCAGTCTTTTTTGCTCATTTCCCACAAAAAACACCCATTTGGGAAGCTGGATTCACTTAACTGGGTGATTCACTTAACAATTGTGGTGGCCACTGTAAAAATGGTTGTAAAATTGGACAGAGAAAGATACGTTGTAGTAGTGAGAACTGAGTGTTTGTTTTCACAACAGTTTTTGGCTTTGACTGCTTGGGGCTGTGGAAGAAAATAAATCCTCAAGTCGGGCTGGACTGGATTAACATTAAAACTAGATTTTAGAATTTGGGACTTAAAGGGAATAAAAAAAGCAGGATTGCACGGACTTTAAATTTTAATTAAATACGATACATTTTTTTTAAAAAAATCTTTAAAAATTGTTAAATTAGTTACTGACATTATGGAGCTCTGGATGTATGAGGAATTATTTGAGATGTTAAAAAAATGTGTGTGAAACTAAAAAAATTCAGAAATGCAGACCAGGACACTAGGCGGCAAATAGAATGGGGTAAAAGAGGATTTAAATGCAGACCAAGAAGACAAGGTGGAAGAAGAGAGTTTAAATGAAGAGAGAGAAGATGCTGTTGGAACTGAAAATAAAAAAAAAGATGATTTTACTGGGATTTACAGTGATACAAAAAAATAAGCAAAGGGGAAGGCCCCCCCCAAAAGAAACAATTGAATAGTGAAGAAGGGAAAAGTGAAAGGGGGAAACCCTGGGGAAAATTACTAGACCAATAAAAGCACAAAGGAGAGAAAGGCCTTGGAAGAAAAGGAATAAGAATTACAAAAATAAGAAAAAGGAAAAGAAGAAGCTAGGAGAATTGGAGCAAAGAAGAAAATTGGAAGGAATAGAATCTGTGAGAGATCCAGAGAAAATGGCTAGAAGAGGAGGAGGGGAAAGGGATATATTAGTAGGCTAAAGGGAATTGTATCAATATTGCTAATGATATGTAGGTAACTAAGATATAAGGGAATTATAATAATCTTAGTTAAGCAAAACATTCTTTGTGTAAAAATTGAAATTGAGGATGTATATTGCTTATAAAAATAGACTAACATGAAAGAAAAGATAATTTAGTTCAATCTTGAAAGGGAAATTGGTGATATTGTTTATATATTAAGAAAACTAAGTTTAAGAGGGAAATAGGAAAGAATAATATAATTGTTAGCTAAATGTTTTCTATGTAAAAATTGAAATTGAGGATGTATGTTGTTTATAGCAAAATAGGTTAATATATGAAAGAGGAAAGGACAATCTGGTTTAAGCTTAAAGAGAAATTGGTGATATTTAGGTACTAAGGAGAAAATAAATTTAAAATGGAAAGAGAATAAATGGG